CCACAGTCACCCGCAGCCACTGTCTCACATCTCCGCGGCTCAGCACAACTACAACCTCGCAGTCGCTCACACCACCCGGCGTACGACCACATCCACTTGTACCCTTGCACACACCCAGCCCGCTCATTACCACGGTTCCCATGCAATCACGGCCCCTCACAACACATTTACACACACACACACACGTCGCCCGCACCCACGGCCACACACAGCCAGTGCTACATGCAACCACGACCATAACACAGTCACATGCACACCCACAGCCACACACACACTGTTGCTCACACACGCTCCGGTGTGCATGAACCCACTTACCATAGTCTATGCCGGGCTCACAGGCCTTGTCCAGCCGGTACGCGTGGGTGACCTTGTCCACCTGCTGCATGAAGCAGTTCTCTGTGGGGTGGATGAGTGGGAGGCATGGTTATAGCCCACGTCTCATCCAGGGCCCCCCACTCCTGGGCCTGTCCCTCTGGGTGTGGGCTTTCAGAGCCCCTTGGGTCACCCCCAATGGGAGGAGGGTCCGGTGGGTGTGGCCACCCCTTCCCCGCCCCTTTGCGCCCACCCTCAGCACAGCGGCACATGTCCTGGTGGCAGAGCTTGCTCAGCAACCCGTCTTCCTTCTCTGGGTGGTAGAACCGGACGCAATTCTCATCTGTGGGCAGAGTGGTGCAGAATGGTCAGAGGGCTAGGGCCTTCAGCCCAGAGAGCCGGGGGAGGGGTGAGGGGCTCGGATTCCCAACTCCCGTCCCTCAGACCTGGAGATGGCAGGTCCCCAACCCTGGGACCCTCAGACCCCCACCTTTCAGATCCCTGGGACCCTCAAACCCCAGCTCCTAGGTCGGCTGCTCACCCAGGTTGTAATAGGAGTACACCTTGACTGATCCAGGCTGGATCAACCCCACATTAAAGTACTGGTGCACTTTGAAGGATAGACAGTCCTCGTGGTTATGCGAGATCTGTGGGGAAGGAGGAGGCCGGTCAGTGGGACGACATGGAAGGGAACCTAGCATGGGTACTGGGGATTGGAGAAAATGAAGGATCAAGGTGGGGTATGGGTGGGGAGGGTGGGGGGCAGGAAGCTCTGCCAAAAGATTTATGAGCACTTCAACAAATCCATGTTGTTTCTCCAAGGGTCGGAGCTAGATTACACTCGCCAGGTTCCTTCCTTCACAAGTGTGGCCACGTGACTGAGTTCTGGTCAACGGACTGCTATCTATGTCCATAAAAACATCCCATGGTTAACGATACTGAGTTGTATATTTACAAGTTGCTCGGATGCCTGGGTGGCTCACTTGGTTAAGTGTCTGCCTTCTGCTCGGGTCATGATCTCAGGGTCCTGGGATCGAGCCCCGCATCGGGCTCCCTGCTCAGCAGGAAGCCTGCTTCTCCCTCTCCTCCCCACTTGTGCTCCCTCTCGCTATCTCCGTCTCTTTCAAATAAATAAATAAAATCTCAAAAAAAAAAAAAAACCTATGTGAGGTAATGGATGTGTTAAGTAACTTTATTATGGTGATCATTTCCCAGTATATGCATACATCGAATCATTACGTTATACACCTTAAACTTACATAATGTTATGTCAGTTACTTCTCATTAAAGCTGAAAAAATAAAGAAAGAGAGAGAGAAAAAAAGAAATAGATATACATATGTATGTGTATGTGATAGGTGTATTTGGAGGAAAAGGCTAACAGTGAATTTGGGTAGAACTATGGAACTGTGTTCTATTGCTCTGCAATTTCCCTGTAAGGTTGGGATTATATAAAAATTTAAATGTACAAAAATTAAAATACAAGAAAATGTCAATGCTCATCTCCTGCACAATCCTCTTTTCTTCTAGAAAGAATGGGCCCAGCAGACGACTCTAAGAGCCTAGGAATTGGAGCCCCAAGATAGAAGGCACGTGGATCCCTGAGTGACTGTGTGGAGCAGAAGACCCTTTCCTTAACCTCCCACACCAACTGGACTTGGCATGAGTGAGAAACACAAGTGTCCTGTGTTGGGATCCCCATATATTCTTGGGAGTTTTATTATAGTAGCTAGTGTTACTTATGCTGACTAATATGGGGTGAGGGGCATGGGACTTAGCAGGAAGAATATGAGGAAAGCAAAGCGGGAAGACATAAGTAGGGGAGAGGAGGAAGCTCAAGTCAGGTTGGAGATGCAAAGAGTGAGAGTTCAGATGGAGAGCCTAGAAGAAGGGAGAGAAATGCCAGGGGATGGGGAGTAGGGGAAATCCTGTTCACCACTGAGCACCTGATTTTTTAAACCAACGTAGCTCTTTTCAGTGGTTGTTTAAGACTCTGATGGGAAGAAGTTGGAGGAAGCAAGCATAAACTGAGGTTGGAACATGAGTGGTCAGAAGGTATGGATGACCTGGGTAGACCACCTCATTCCACCTGCCCCTTCCTCCACCACCCAACAGCAGGGACCCCATCTCTCCTAGCCTGGGCCTGGCCTGACCCAGAGGAAGGCCAGCCAGGTAGAGGTCAGGTCCCCATTGGAAGCCTTACCTTGTCCAGGTAGATGATGAGGGTGTTCTTATTGGAGAAGGCCTTATTCAGCTCGTACTTAGAGATGTATTTCTCGACACCATTGTTCAACTGGGGAAAGGTAGGACTTGTGAAAATCCTCCTTAGTCTTCTTCCAGACCCCAGGGTTCTTCCCACTGATCCCGGCCCTCAAACCCACAAGCCCTTCATACCTCGTTGAGATCACTAAGGTCAGGAGAAAAGCCAGTCATCATGGATATATCCAGGATCGACATGGTAGCATCCTGGTCTCCTAGGTACCTGAACGGGGCAGAGAAAGGGCAGTTGGGTTCCAGGGTGGGGTCAGCCCCGGGGGTCAGTTCCTGGACAAGGGGGTCTGATCAGAGACTGAGGTTCCTGGTTCCCACATAGCAGCACAGAGGGATATTAGATTTTAGGAAACATTCCCCAAAGGGAATAATGGAAAGGCAGTACAATGGTCAAGGAGACTAATAGCTCAGGCTCTAGAGCCCAATTGCATGGGTTCAAATCCCAGCTCTATATGACATCTGATGAATCACTTGACCTCTCCATGCCTCAGTTCTTCTAGAAAATAAAGGCAAGAAAATGTTACCACGGTCTAGCTCAATAATAGTGGGGTATAGTAATCACAATTGCATAAAGTACAAATCTTGTTTCTAGCTCTTCAGTCCACCAATCACTGTGCAAATAACAGATGCACATCACAGTCAATGACCAATCACGTCACTTCTTCCAAAAGTCTGTCGGTGCTGGAGCATTGAGCAGCCATTATTCAGTTCATGCACTGATAGCAAGGCGTGTGGTTGTGTTAATTCCGTATCTCCCAGTGGATCAACCCACCTGACATTTTGTAAAAATGAGTCATTGAAAGAGGGAACTAGCCAACAAAGATGAAAGCGCGGCAGGGCAATGAAGACTGGTAACGCTGGAAGTAAAATTTGAATAGCATATAAATGGAATTAGAGAATAAACGGCGGGCTGTGGGAATGTCGCCCCTGCTGCCATTTGAGAGGCTGGCTATGCAGTGGGAGGAACCTGGGGGAGGCAAGCCCATCAACATAAACGAGGAGAATGGCTGTGACCAAAGGATGCAGCTGTCCCAGGGGAAATGGCGCCGGCAGAAATGCCTCCATAACTCTTGGCCGCTCAAAGGATTAAGTGTTGGAAGCTGACCTAACTCAGAAGGGAATGTGACAATTCACTATGTCATAAGAAAGATGCCTGCTTTATCCATATCCTCAGTTATACAAAGAAGAGGAAGGAGGCGCTTTCGAACCACAGTACTTTCGATGAGTGTTTTACAAGGGAGGAAACAAAAAATCACTTGCATCTCAACGTTCTGATGTTTTCCTTTACAGCATACTAAAATACTCGTTGTACTGTCGTTTTCATTTCTCTATACCTTTATAACTGGCAGTATGAGAGTTTTTGATGTTGTGATAAAATGCTTTAAAGGTCATGGAACAATTGTAACTTCCCCGACTGATTGTTGAGATTGCTCGCACAGCCTCAGCCTACGTGGCCACTGCTAGTCTCGGACTTAGCCATGCACAGTGAGGACTGTGCCTGCGGCATCCACCTCCTGGGGGGACTTAAGACAATACCAGATGCACAATGCAGTCTTGCAAAGGATTAGGTACCAGAGATATTATTTGTGAGAAGTCTTGTTATAGACAGAGGAATTGCCAAGATGACCCCCCAGTGAGCCATCATCACTTACCTGGTACAGATGTTAAGGATCATGGTGCTCTTGGCGTCCTGAGGCCTCTTGACTAGAAACACAGAAGACAGAAAAATGGGAGGGGGGTTCCTGGGTCCCAATTAAGGAGGGGGGCAGATATTAGGATGGGGTTGGGGGAAGGGTAACAGGTAGGGTCTTTACTCCCTTTACCATCTTCAAGGGCTCGTTGAATGTCAACCCTGAGGTCAAACTTCCGGCAGGAGGCTTGGCCTTTGAGCTTGGCATAGTACATTGTCACCACCTGGTGAAATAGTGGGGGTGATGAAGTGTCAGCCCACTTGAGTTGAGAAGGAGAGGGTCCCTCTGGGGCAGAGGGGTTGAGAGAAAGTGGTGGGCCAAGCAGGTGTGTGTTTCTGTTCCTTACCGACAAGGTGCCTTCTCCTTTTCCTTTAGCTATTACTTCGAAATTCTCATTTTTCTTGGTCTGCAGGGAGAGAGAAGTGAGGATGTTGGGAACCAAGCCTTCTCCTGGCTGCAACAATCATCTGCTCTCCCTCCTGCCTCTGGCAAACCCTGGCTGGTGTGGAGGGTGACAGCAAGGAGGGTTTGGCTAGGCAGATGTACCTCTTCTGACCGCAGGAGGCTAGCAGATTCCCAGACAATGCGGTGCTTGATGACAGAGCTTCGGCTGGGCAGTTTGATGGCCACCTCCAGGTTCAGGTCCCTGTGGTCAGGGACATCCTTCTGGTATTGGGCCAAGGCTTGGAATACCATGAAGGTGGCCTAGAACCCATGAGAGAGGAAGAGACTCAGATCAGAGGGAGGGGGCACTGAGACTGTAGCCTAGGAACCCCCCCTACTGCCCCCCAGAGAGGGTAAAGATGAGATTGGGAGTTGTTAGGCACCAAGGACATGCTCTAGATTCTTCAAGGGACAGAGGCTTAGACCAGAGTTTGGAGACACTAAGAACATGTCTAGAATCCACCAGAAATTGTAGGCGTAAGACTGAGCCTATAGCAACACTGAGAATGTGGCCCAGATTCATCCAGAGGAGAGTCTAAGACAAGAGTTTGGAGTCACTGAGAATGTGTTTAGAACGCACTTGTGAAAAAAGAATGAAGTTGGAGCCTGGGGTCACTGAACATATGATCTAGAATCCAAAAGGGATACGGAGAATATGACTGACAGCTCGCCAGAAAGAAAGGGGGTCAAACTGGAGTCTGAGGTTTTTGAAACCATGGCCTAGAACCCACCAGGAAGAGAAAGGCTGGGAGTCTGGTGGAGCTGAGAACCTGGTCTAGAACCCGCAGGAAGACGAGCTAGCATGGAGCCTGGTGGAGCTGAGAACCTGGTCTAGAACCTTCAGGAAAACGAGCTAGCATGGAGCCTGGTGGAGCTGAGAACCTGGTCTAGATACCAGGAGGCTCAGAACATAGCTTGGGGCATTGAGAATGTAGTCTAGAACCCACAGGTGTGTTCACAACTGAAAAAGCCTGATCTCTTAAATCCACTCCAGCCACTCTGGCTTGTGGGACAGAAGGACTGCCCCTCTTGGTCTCAGCGTCTTCTCTGGGAGGCCAGACGACGTAGGCATGCAGGGGCCTGGGGGATATGGGGTCACTTACCTGGGTGGAGCCATAGCCACCCCCATAGTATCTCTGCTCATTGAGCCAGCGCACGACAGGAGGTACAAAGTCAAAGTCTTTGAGCAGCAGCAGGGCCAAGAGGGCGTAGGATGTGGCTTCCACACTGTAGAGCTTCTGGCCAGGTTCCTCCCAGCGCTCCCTGTCTGCGGAGAGAACCCCCCCAGCCCCCATGCTCACTGCTCTGTCTAGCCTGGAGATGGCTCAGAGAAAGCTCAGAAGAAGACTCCCCCTAGACTCCCCCTGGCTGACATCCAAGGCCCTCAATCTGCTGGCTCCTGCCTCACTCTCTTTTCTCATTAACCTTCACTCGTCCACTTAAATTCTCAACTGTAGCCCCACTGATCTACAGGAGATTCCCTAAACTTTCCATGCTCATTCTTATTTCTGAGTCTTTTGAAATTCTGTTCCCTCTACTTGGAGCACCTTTTCTCCACTACTCCTGTTAATCCCATCCTGTACAATCTGGCTTCAAAGGCACCCCAAGACTCGGTGACAGACCCCTGCCCTTCCTTCTGTCTCTCAAAACATCCTGTGCTCTCCTGTGCCAGCATTATGATGCTCTACAGCAATCTGTTAACTCATTTCTTTCCTCAACTGGAGTGTGAGGACATGATGGCAGGGGCTACACTGTATTCACTGTGATGTCCCAAGTGCCTAAGAAAGTACTCATGGCAGAGATTGTCATGAGGAACCATTCCCTCCTCTTCCTGGGCACACAGCTGGACTACATCTCCCACATATCTTTGCAGGCAGGTATGGCCACAGGACGGAGCTCTGGACAATGGAGTGGGCACGGGCAATGACAGGGGCCCCTTCCATGCCTGGTCTGCCTCCCTTGCACAATCCTCCTCTTTCCCCTTCTGCTTGGATGGAGTGGATTCCAAGGACCTGGAGTGGCAGAGCCATGAAAAGAAAGAGTCTGGGATCCGGGCATCAATGTATGGAGGAGATCCATCCATGAACAAGAAACTTCTTTGTGATAAAGCACCTCAGTATATGTTACATCATATTTCTTCACATATGTTCCATCAGTCAGTGCAAATCTAGTATAGATCATCACTGGAACCAATGATTAAGTGCTCACTAGGTGTTAGGCACTGTGCTAAATTGCCTATGGCATTATCTTGCCTAATCCTAATGACTCTTGAGATAATGATAATATTAGGACAATAGCAGTGATAGAGCTCTTACTGGGTGCTAGACCTTCTACCTGCATTACTCATTCAATCTTCACAACCACCCTATGATGTAAGTATCATCTTAAGATGAGGTCCAGAGAGGTTCAGTGGCTTGTACAAAGCCACACAGTGAGAATATGGCAGAGTGGGATTTGAATTTGGCTCTGTCTGATGTCAGAGCCCACGTCCTTGCTCCTGGGTCATAGCAAGTGCTCAACACACACTTGTTGAATGAAGGATGCAATGGACCTTATGGTGTAGCTTACAATGAGGGCATCTCACACCTCCGAGCCATCCACCCAGCATGGCTTAGCACCATCCAGTCCAGCTCAACTTGAAGCTGCCCATCCCAGCGCTGCTTAGAGCCACGCATGCCAGCTCAAGACGACCGCCCCTAAACCCCAGTCATGCGTTCCTCTTTTACCTCCCCAGGCTGCCCCTCACCTTTGGCTGTGCTCAGAAATTTTCTGAGGAGGTTTCCCTCCAGCTTGCCTAGCTGGGCGAGGGCGTAGCCAGCAATGGCCACAGAATATGATCCCTGCAGGTTCTCGTAGTGGGCTGCAAGATATTGTCCTGCCTTATTGATGCTGCCCGGCAGGCTCTATAAGAAAGAGGATTGAGTACTTTGGTAAGGTGAACATTACTGCCACAGAGAGCTGGTAAGGATCACACAAGCACCACTTCCTGGGTACCAGGATGGTTTCTGTCCTTGGGACATTTCCCCCCCACCCTGCCGCGGGTTTTCAAGACATTTTAGCCACCGTGAGCTGCCTTGTTGCTGAATACCTAAGATGTGCCTGGGACAATTTATATACCCAATGGTGTACTGGTAGCTATTTAAGCTCTCCAGTGTGTGTGTTTGGGGGCAGGGGAGGAGGGCGGCTGGTTTATAGATTGCCAGGTACTGTGACGTAAATACTCCCACTACAGCCAACTTCAAGCTACCACCATAATGTCCCTGAACATGGAGTGGAGAAGAGATGCCCCAGATAGGCACTTGCGAGCTAGTAGGAATGATTCAGCACCCTGCTGGGAATGCCTCTTGTCTAATCATCAGCTTCATAGCTAACACTTACTATATGCCAGTCTACTTTTATCATCATCCCTACTGCACAGATGAGAATACTGAGACCCAGAGAGATGAGGGGTGGAGGAAGACATGATCTGTAGTATTCGCGGATTTTTATGGTGTGAATACTACCATGGCCAATTTCAAACTACCGATGTGGAGGCAGTGAATGCAGAGTTGGGAAGAGGTGGGCAGTAGCACAGTCTTAGATAGTATTTTCCACCATATAGGTGCGTAAACAACCTTGAGATGGATAGATTTATTGTAGATAATGAAAGATAATAGAACAATTAGGAAGTGATGAGTTTTGAGTGTGTTTTTCACCTTTGTTTTTAATGTTTAATGCATAGTCTAATTTACTTAAATGTAAGTTTATATAATTTAATTTTTTTAAAAGATTTTATTTATTTTTTTGAGAGAGTGAATGAGAGAGAAAGAGCACAGGAGCAGAGGGAGAGGGAGTGGGAGAAGCGGGCTCCCCGCTGAGCAGGGAGCCCAAATGTTGCTGTGTTGTGGTAGAAACTAATCCTTTTGCCTGCTCAGCTACCTCTCCTTCATCTACTTTTGACTTTTGTAGGAACTTTTCTCTTTCATTCACACGCCACAGAGGAAGCAGCCATATTTGCCCAATAAGACCTACTTCCTGGCTTCAGCTGATTGGCCCAGGTGTGATCACCTGACCACGGTCAAGCCAATCAGAACCATTCCCTGGGAATCTGATAGCCTTGGTCTGGCTATTTCCCCAAAGAAGGCAGCCAGCCTTCTGCCAGGCTGGGTGGGTGGCAGAGAAAGAGGAATTATTGGGCCCAGAAAGGCCTGGGTTCCTCTTAGTCACTAAAGATAATAGCCCCATCCCCTCCATCTCTTTTCTGGGTTCCAACTAAGGGAGAAGCAGCTGGCTGAGGTGAGATCCTGGGGTTCCCAACTTGGTAAGCTAAAAGGTCAAACAAACCACTCTTAAAATCCCAGGACAAAGCAGATGGAGCAATTACAGAGACTCTCAGGAGACCATCTTTCTAAGTTTCTCTGCTTCAGAACCAAAATTAGAGGAAAAGGAGATAGCCGTAAGACAACATTTTTAATCATTCCCCTTTTAGGGTCATGGGCTCCTTTGAAAATTTCCTAAAAGAGGGACGTCTGGGTGGCTTAGTCAGTTAGGCACTTGAGTCTTGATTTCGGCTCAGGTCATGATCTCAGGGTCATGAGATGGAGCCCTGCATGGGGCTCTATGCTCAGGAGGGAGTCTGCTTGAGATTCTCTCCCTCTCCCTCTCCCCCTCTCCCCATGCTCTCTCTCTCAAGTAAATAAATAAATTTTAAAAAAGAAAAAGAAAATTTCCTAAAAAGATCCCCCAGGCTAAAAAAATAGTCTTGATGTTTTCTTAGCTCTGTGTTGTGAGTTTTCTTTAGGGAAGCAGCAAAGATACAATGCACTGATCAGGTAGGAGTGATGTGGAAAACAGGCTGAGGGGGCTTTTGTTGACATTGGCTAAAACTCTCTGAAAATGGTAAAGCAGGCAGAAAGGACCTGCTCTTTCATCTCTTTGTGTCTCAGTTTTCTCTTCTGTAAACTGGGGATAATAAGAGTAGCCCCCCTCTTGGGCTCTTACAAGGATTACAGGACTCAACCATGTGAAGCTCTTAGATGAGCATCTTAGTTAATTACCCCCCAAATGTTGGGTATTATTATGGCCACTGTGGTGGCTGTTATTGCACTGGGGAGGACTGAGAATCACCCAAATGCAACACCCCACCCTCCAAGGTGGATGTGCCCTGGGTAGGGGAGGGAAGAAGAAGAAGAGGATGGCGGACACTTACGTTGACCTGTCCTTCACAAATATCTTCAGCCTCTTTCAGTGCAATGAGAACAAAGGCTGTGAGGGATGCCTCCTTCTCCTTAGAATCCCGCACGCCACCCTAGAGTAGGAAGCAGGAAACAAGGATAGGGTCACCAGTGTGTTCCCATTTGGTGACCAATCCCCTTGTAGGGTCAGTAGGTCAAGGCAGGGCTGAGTCTCTCCCCAGCGTTTCCTTAGGACGGGCACTCTCTTCAGTATCCATTCATTCAGCAGATGTTGCTGGTGCTGTGGATAAGATGGTGGGGAAGAACCAGACACTAGCCCAACCCTCATGGAGCTTTCCATATAGTAGGGGAGACAGACATGAACCAACTAGTTCATCAAAAGATTTTATCATTACAGACTGATGAGTGCTGTTCAAGAGACATGGATGTGGCAGTGAAAATGGACAGTGGGAGTGTGACTCAGTTGGGGAGATCAGGAAAGATGTCGCTGGGGGATGACGGGTTAGCATGCCAGGCAGTGGGAAGAGCTTGTGCAAAGGCCCTGTGCCAGGAGAGAGCATTAGGCTCCTAGAAGTACAGATGGAGTGTGGATGGGGGTATGGGGACAGCTGTTAAGACTGGACGCCTGAAAGGTCAGACTAAGGCAGTGATTCTCTAACTTATGCATGTATTGGGTGTGTGTGTGTGTGTGTGTGTGTGTGTGTGTGTGTGTAGGCCCTGCTCCTAAAGTTTCTGATTCCATGCATCTAGAGTCCAGCTTGAGGACATGCATTACTAACAGGTTTGCAGGTGATGCTGATGCTGCTGGCATGGGGATCCCGTTTGGAGAACCACAGCTCTGAGGGGTTCTAGGTTTATTTTCAGAGCGAAGAAGGAGGAACTTTGGTTTTGCACTAGACTCTGAAGGTCTCTGGTCTTTGCATTGGAAGAGCAACGCTCCCGGCAAAGGGGTAGTTTTTCTCCTGTCTATCCTGTGACTTCCGGGCGCCCCTTCCTCAGCCTGCCCTGAACCCCTGCCTCTTACAGTCATCTCTTGGTGAATCACTGGCCCATCCTCGTTGAAGATCCCGTCGGGCTTCTGCTTCTCTATGATCAGCCATTTGACCGCCCCGCAGAGGACCTGGGCGTCGATGGCGATGAGGTTGGCGGCCAGAGAGAAGACCTTGACCACGTAGGCTGTCAGCCTGAGGGCGGGCACAGAGCGTGAGCCAATCGCCTCCGGGATCCAGAGACTGCCATTCCAGCAAACCAATGAGCAGAGAGGGGCGGGGCCTGGCCGGGCTGGCCCAGCCTCCCCACCCAAGTGCAGACCAAGCCTAGCCGCAGGAGGCGCTTGATGACCGCAGGCCACTCGGCAGCCCGCAGTGGGCGCGTCGCCTCTGTGGGCCGAGGACCCAGAGCTGGGCTCAGGGCTGCGTGGACGAGGCCCGCTGGGACCACCCCAGGCCGCCCTGCTCTGTGGGATGCAAGGATGTCTCACCAGGTGCTGGACTCCCGCTTCGGGAAGGCAGCGAAGGCCGAGTTGCCTTGTCTGAAGGCTAGCTGCTGGGTGTACCCTGCAGGGAAGCGAGAAGTGTCGCCCGAGGAGCCGAGGCTGAGTGGAGGGGGTGGCTGGCATGGGTATGCCAGCAAGGGGAGGGGCTTGGGGGACAGGGGTTCAGAGAGGAAAGAGGGGGCTCAGGGCGGAGTAGGGAAGTCTGGCGGGGAGGGGGAGGACCTTCTAAAAGGGGAAGGGACTCAGAGGGCGGGGCGATCAGAGAGGAAAGGGGGACGGAGTTCTCAGAGGAGAGGGGTTCAGAGAGGGGAAGGTTCTCAAGGGGGTTCAGGGCAACGGGGCCTCAGTGAGAGACGGAGCTCCCTAGGGCTCAGAGGGGCCCAGGGTCTCAGAGAGGGGAAAGGTCGGGGGGAGGTCTTTCAAAAGAAGGGATCCAGAGAGGGGAGAGGCTTCGCGGAGGGGCGGGGCCTGAGAGGGGGCAGGGCTTCCGGGAGGACCCAGCTCGGGGAGGGGGCTGGGAAGGGGAGGGGGCTGGGAGGGGGGCGGGTCTCCAAGGCAGGCGCACCCTTCTTGATGAGCTCCAAGGCCTCCTGCCGCTTCTCCAGGCCGAACCTCTCCCACTGCTCGGTTTGGTCCAGGTAATGCACCGAGATGACAGTGGGCGTCATGCCGATCATGTTTTGCTCCCCGCAGCCCGACGGGGTCACGATGAGGTGCTTCAGACGTTCCCCGTCGATGGCGTCCTCTGCCATCTGAGCCACCGGGGTCCCTGCAGCCGGGCGGGAGGACCGCGCTCAAGCACCGTGGGGTGGGCTGAGGAGGGTTGGGGCTGCGACCAGCGATCCCAGGCTCCAACCAGCCAGTGCCAGAGAGGCCCGGGGCAGTTGGGGGCTGAGGAGGATGTGATCGAAGGGAGCAGCACGCTGAGTGGACGAGGCAAGGGCAGGGGGGTCTACACTTGTAGGGAAGGGGGGCTTGTGCTTCATGGGAGAACTCTGGTCCCTGAGTCCTCTCGTTACACCAGTGGCAAATTACTTCCGGTAACAGTCGTCATGAATACTTAGATCGTGCTTAATGCTGTTTGCCAAGCGCTGTTCTAGAGAACCTCATCTAGTATCTCATTTAATCCTCTCAACAACCCTTTGGTATAGGAACTGTTATTCGCTCCCATCACAGATGAGGAAACCAAGGGTCTCTCCCCCAAAACCTTACTGCTTGCGAGGTGCCTTTCCAGCAACTTCTTTTCCCTTCTTCTTGCTCCAGTCCTCCATCCCAGGCATTTAAGTTCCAAAATCTCCTGCTCTTGAACTATACTGTTTCTCATTTAAACTTCTTTATCTGCAAAAGCTATTTGCTGAACTAAATACTGCCTGGAGCCTTCTATAAAACAGATCAAGGAGGTGGCCAGCTGTCCCAATGCAAGTGGAGAGGGGAGGCACAGTAGTGAATATCCTCGGAATTAGGGGGAGCTGGGTCCCCCTTCTCCAGGGTTGTGCCTTCCTGGGTCAGAGCCAGTGGTGGTCACCTTGCAGGAGGATCCTGGTCTCAGAATCTGTGTCTGGGACTTGGTCGCTCAGGTCTGCCGCACGGACCTTCACTTGCTGCTCTCCCCCTGTCGGCGGAACGGGAGAGAAGGATGGCAACAGCCCTCTCCCACCAGGTCCTGCATCGCCACCCAGACCTCAGCCCCTCTGCTGTGGCTGACTCACCTTGGCCCTTCTGTTCTGGATTCAGTGTGTGAATGGCCACAGTCTTGTTGACTCTGACTCCCTCGGGCTGAACCGTGTTGGGATGGGGGGCGGGGAGGGGAGGTCGGGTGAATAAAGGAACAGACACACACAACTGGTCAGCAAAGACACTGTCCTTCTGGGGATTACGTAGCATAGGCACAATGGCATCACCTATCCCAGCTGTGTGACCAGGAGTCAGTTACTTAACTTCTCTGTGCCTCAGCTTCCTCCCTTCAAAAGAGGAAGCAATACAAACATCTACTTCATATGGTTGTCCTGGGAATTAATAACAAAATTATACATTGCTAGCAAAATAACAAACCCTTGTGAAAGCTTCCTCCGTGCTAAGGTGCTTTCTTTGCTCTCTGGGGTTAACCTTTTACCTTTGCAACAAACCCGGTCGGGGGAGTACCACTATTATAACTCCCATCTCAAAGGTGGGATACACAGAGAGGTGAAGTCACTTGCCCAACGTCACACAGCTGGTAGAAGAGAGCCGGGGTTTAACAGTGCAGTCTGTTTTTTTTGGGGGGTGGGGTGGGGAGGCAGTCAGGCTAAATGACCCAAGAAAGTCTGTGTTTTTAATTCAGTGCTTTTCAAACATCTCTAGAACAAAAGAATGTGCATAAAGTACTCAACACAATGCCTGGCACACAGTAAGTACTCAGTTAAAATAGGGGCTGTCTTAGTATCAGAGTCCCAACTGATGCTCTCCTGTGTCTACAGAAAGACCTCCATGGTGGACTGCAGCTGTTTATGCCTAGGCTGATAGGCTGGTAGGCTGATAATAATGCCCAAATTTTCCTTTGGAGACCGAGTCTCCTCCAATGGCATGCTGGTAAATATCTGACACCCAGCTCTCCAGGAAGAAAAGATCCTCCATTGTAGCGCTGCTAATTTACGTGCTGTGAATATCTCCTCCATGGCAGACTTCAAGCTACCAGCATCAGAGAGTGCAGAATTGGGAAGTTGTGGGCACACTGGCTCTCGGGCATGGGACCATGCAGGCTCTAACCACCCTCCTAGGTTTTCATCCCATCAGTGCCACACTGAGCCATGCTGGGGCCCCAGGCAAAAGGGATAATAAGAAATGTGCCCCTAGGGGCCCCTGGCTGGCGCAGTGGGGAGAGCATGTGACTCCTGAGCTAGGGGTTGTGAGTTCCAGCTTACTAAAAAAAAAAAAAAAAAAAAAAGAACTTAAAAAAAGTGCTCCTAGATATGTATTTTTATGTATATTTTAATGGTTAATTATATTCCAGAACATTAAAGTAGTTGGAAAAAAAAATGAGTTTGGGTGCACCTGGCTGGCCTGGTCGGAAGGTAGGGCGTGTGACTCTTGATCTCAGGGTTGTAAGTTCAAGTCCCATGTTGGGTGTAGAGATCACTTAAAAATAAAATCTTTTAAAAAAAAGAATAGGAGTTTGGTTCCATTAAAGTCAGGAAAGAAAAATTATATTGGTTTGGGTATAAATAAGACATTTCACTATAAAATAGCACTGTCAGTTTTAAAGCATTTGCTTTTCAGTGTTTCAATATTTTTTCAACGACTTTAACATTTTTTTGGGAAAATTAACCATTAATCAGTTTTAACCATTAAAAAAAGACACATATATGGGGGCCATATTTTCCCTGTAGCTTCAGGGAAGCTAAATATGGCTTGAGTTGATACTGTCAGATCCTCTCTGTTTAAAACTTTGATCTTTTGTTCATCACAGATTTTTTTTGGTATTAATTTTGAATCCTTACAACATTGTATTAAAATACTGTCGCTCTTATTTATGATCTCACATATTGCTTGAAAATATTAATAAGAGATGATAGGAGGCTCTTATTTTTATTAATGACTTGATCTCCTATTATATTTGCGAATGTTCGTCACTGTAGGAAAGAGTAGAAATGTAACTGTTAACATATATCCTAAGGGTGAAAATCATACTTAAAACTAGAAGTTCTTATGTTCTCACATTGTATGTTACTGCTTTCTAAAATTTGTTTTGTGTGGGGCGCCTGGGTGGCTCAGTCGGCTAAACGTCTGCCTTCAGCTCAGGTCAGATCCCAGAGTCCTGGGATCGAGCCCCGTGTCAGGCTCTCTGCTCAGCGGGTAGCCTCCTTCTCCTTCTCCCTCTGCCTCCCTCTCTGCTTACTTATGCTCTCTCTCGCTGTCAAATAAGTAAATAACATCTTTAAAAAAATTTTGTTTTGTGAAACATGTTTTCTCAAGATTTTTAAAATAAAAAAAAAACTCCTATATGCTGAAATGTGTTAAAAATATCATATTTGATATTAAAATACATTTTCATTTAAAAACGTATCACTGGTTTTTATGACTGGGTTTTTTGGTGCCCCCTAAAAGTCCTCACTCACTTACCCTAATCCCGGCCCTGCTTCCAAACTTGTAGGACTCCTAAATTTCCTAAGCTGGACACTGGACGCTCTTAGTGTCTCAGAGTTTGGGTCTCCAACCTGGATTGACAGCAGGAGGAGACAGGAGACTCTCCTGAAGGACAAGGGGCAGCAGGTGCCCCAAGGACTCACCACGACCTTCAGGGTCTTCTTGACACCATCGCTGATGAAATGCCTGTAAACAGCGGCCTTGACCTCCACCTCATGTAGGCCGACCTTCAAAGGCACAATGACATAAGGCACGGCCACTGAGGACTTGGCTGGGATTTCTACAGTCTGCTGGTAGCGCTTCTTGGAGGTGGCCATGCTGCAGAAGGCTGGGTTGTAGAGCAGTTCCACCTTGACCTGTCAGGGGAGAGAGACTCAGTCAGGGGTATGTGCCACGGATCCCCCACCCCCACCAAGCTCTCCATCATGCCTCTGCCGCCCCAGGGACCCACCTTGAGCTCCCCCACTTCCTGGTAATTGTAGAGCACGGCTCGGATCTCCACCTGCTCATTGCGCACGACAGAGTAGGGTAGCCGCAGGTCAATGAAGAAGTCTTGCATCACTGTGACCTCATAGGGGTCAGCCACGCAGATCCCTGCCCGGGAGAGGAGTGTCAAGGGAAGGAGGCGGACAGTGTCTCAGTGCTTACCCCTGCCTGCAGGAGCTGTGCCAAGCTCAGCCTGTGTTTGTAGAGGCCCCCAGACTAAACAGCTTCGCTGATACATTTGCCCATGGTAGTGGCCTGGCAGCTGGACATTGCTGTGATGGGACGATTTCCATTTTCTTTCGTGGTTTTATTCATAGGTATGTGTGCAGGTGGGAGGAACTCAAGCATAACTGAGGGGTCCATATCTGTGCTCTCCAAAATGGTAGCCGGAGCTCCATGTAGTCACTGGGCACTTGGAATGTGGCTAGCTCCAGTGGGAACCGGATTCCTACTTTTATTTCATTTCACTTCACTCAGATTTAAACTTAAAAACTGATGTGCATCGTGAATATACTATAACCCCTTGAATTGTACACTTTCAAAGGGTGACTTTTATGGTATGTGAATCATACCTCAATTTAGAAAATGATGCCTGATTCAGTGATTGGAAAACTTTTTAACGTATGTTTGGAATAACTTGGATAGGCCAATCTACCTTTTCAGCTGTACATTTTGCAAATCCTAAAATACAGACCCAAGTATTTCCAATGAAAGGCTAGGGGCACCTGGCTGGCTCAGTCAGGGAAGCATGTGACTCTTGATCTCGGGGTTGTGAGTTTGAGCCCCACGTTGGGTGAAGAGGTGACTTAAGAGTAGAAATAAAATCTTAAAAAAAAAAAACGGCTAGCACCCTAATTGGGATGCTCTGCGGGTATAAAATACATGCTAGATTTCAAAGGCTTAGTACAAACAGAAGTAAAATATATTATTCATAATTTTGAGATGTTAATAGGTTATTCTTAAGTATTAACATATTTATCCTTGTAGTGTGACAGTGGTTTGTGGATGTTTACAAAATGTTGAAAGAATAAAAACTGTTGAAAGAATAGTATTTTGAATATATTTGGTTAAGGAAAATATATAATAAAATTGATTTCATCTACTCCTTTTCTTTTCTTTTCTTTTTCAAGTAGGCTCCATGCCCAGCGTGGGGCTTGAACTCACGACCCTGAGATCAAGAGTCACACGCTCTATGAACTGAGCCAGCCAGGCGCCCCTCACTATTCCTTTTTTATGGGGCTACCAGAAAATTCGAAATGACACAAAGCTTGCATTGTATTTCCGATGGACAGGGCCTATCTACAGGGAGTGAAAATGATGCCAGAAACGATGGTTATTTGCGATACGATTACTGCATTAAATTCAAGCAAAGGTTTAATGCAAGGAAATTTGCAAAAACATTGTATTGAAAATAATGTTACGCTAAAAAAATAAAACAAATAAAAATAATGTTACACTAAGAAATCTATTAAGATTTTTTTTTTCTTATTCTTCAGTGGTGAAAAAAATTACCAGGGGCTGGAACGAAATCCTTATTTCTTAACCTATGGTCATTTATTCATCGCCCTTGGGGTGTCTGCTCTAGTCACGGAGCTATTTACCATTTCTTATCTACTATTTGTTTTTACATTAAAAAAAAAAGTTTATTTTTTAGTCATCTCTACACCCAGTGTGGGGCTCAAACTCACAACCCCGAGATCAAGAGTGGCACCCTCCACCAACTGAGCCAGCCAGATGCCTCTATCTTGACGTTTTTAAACTCAAATTTAATTTACTGTGGTGTGTGAAAAGCCAGGTTTTGCACCACAAATAGGAGGTTCCCTCAAGGAAAGCAAAACGGTTTTGTTCAATACTGGTTAGCTGGTGCAGAAAGCTGCACCTGCTCCCCTCTCCTTGCTGATCGAAGTTGTTCAACAAGAGCAGGAGAGACGAAGGCGTGCTTGCCCCAGACTGAGCTCTTCCCTTCAGACAAGATGGAAGGACTTCTGACACACGATCTGTGTCACTTTTAAGGCAGTGAAACATGTCGTTACAGGTTTGTCCAAACCCTTAGAAGGTACAACACTGTTGTGGAGCCCTAAGCTATTGGCTACAGTTAATAATAATGTACCCAGGGGCACCTGGGTGGCTCAGTCGGTGAAGCGTCCGACTCTTGGTTTCTGCTCAGGTCATGATCTCAGGGTCATGAGATTGAGCCCCCACATCGGGCTTCCCGTTCAGCGGGGAGTCTGCATCAGGATTCTCTCTCTCCCTCTGCCCCTCCTCCCACTCTCTCTCTCTCTAATAAATCTTAAACAAACAAAAAATAATGTATTCATTTGGGCCCATCAATTGTAGCAAATGTACCACCCTAATGCAAATAGGGGTTAAGAATGGGAACTGAGGGGACTGGAGGGGTGTGTGGCAACTCTCTGTGCTTTTTTGCCCAATTGTTTCTATAAACTTAAAACTGTTTTTAAAAAAAATCTATTAATTAAAAAAAAAAAAAGACTGACTTGTGGGATTTGAGGAAGTGTCCATGCATCTCTGAAAGGCATTTACCCTTTGGTCTCTAAAATATGATTGGCTCCAATAATAACTCACACACATCGGACAGTTATAACATGCCAGGCACCATTGTAAGGGCTTCCTGTGTGTTAGTTCATAAAATCCTCCCAACAACACTGTGAGTAGGTACTATTTCTATTGTGCCCATTTTATGGATGAGCACAGAGAGGTTGAGTAACTTGACTCAGGCCACAAAGCTCCCCAAGGGAGGACCTGGGATTTGAACCCAGGCATTTAAGCTTGGGAAGCTCTCTGCTTGTAACCCTGACTTTTGAATTCATAGTAGCTCAGGAGTCTGAAATTTCCAAGTTTCGTGGGTTACAATGCTAAAATATTTATTCTGAAGCTCTAAGATGGGGTTCCTGGAAGGTTCATTCCCCAGTGATCTTGGGCAAGTCACCTTCCTTCCCTGGCTTCAGTATCCTCATTTGTAGGAGAATAATAGTACCAAGCTCGTAGGGTGGTTGTGAGCGTTGACTGAGATAATGTGTTGAGAGTTAAAATCATGCCTGGTGAGACAATGATGTCGAGAAGGTATCACAAGGGCATGGAGAGCGGAATCCCAAAACCACAGGGTCCTGTAGGATTCTGCCCCCCATCCCACCCAGGGGACATTGGGCAACTTCTGGGGATATTTTGGGGACATGTCACAACTGCGCGGGGTGTGCTACTGGGATCTAGCAGGTAGAGGCCATGAATACTGCTCAACATCCTACACTGCACAGGGCAGGGCCCTACCACAGAGAACCATCCAGCTCGGAGCCACACGAGTGGCTCTGTATGCATACAGACCCCCTAGGGACCGCATTAAAATGCAGGTTCTGAGTCAGCAGGTCAGGAGGGGGGTCCAAGATTCTGAATTTCTAACAAACTCCCAGGTAAGCACCTTTGCCAGATTGCTAGTGGTTCAGGGAACATGGTTTCAGGACAAGGATCTAAACTGTGGCTTTTGGGGCACCTGGGGGGCTCAGTTGGTTAAGGGTCTGCCTTCAGCTCAGGTCATGATCTCAGGGTCCTGGGACCGAGTCCCGCATCGGGCTCCCTGTTCAGCGGGGAACCTGCTTCTCCCTCTCCTACTTGCTGGTGCTCTCTCTATTACCGCCCTCTCTCTCTCAAATAAATAAATAAAATCTTTAAAAAATAAATAATCTGTTGCTTTCAACTTTCTTTTTTCAAGCTGCAAGAACTTTTCTATTTAAAGGACACCTCAAAATCTTTAAAAAAAT